TGCATAGGTTTGGCTATTTGGGTACTACTGTGTCCAAAAAGTAAGACCAATTTTCAAGTTAAATTACGCGGGTATATCGAATGTCAGAAATATTTTTTTTTTAAATTGGTAGAACTGTGACAGACATCTGTGTCAAATTATGCGTTGTTTGCGTGAAGCTATTCGCAAAAAGAGGCCGGAATTGTGGAAAGACAACTCTTGGTTTTGGCACCATGATAATGCGCCATTTCACACTGCATTGGTTCTTCGAGACCATTTCGCTAAAAATTCGACCCATATCGTTCCACAACCACCATATTCACCTGATTTAGCACCGTGTGACTTCTGGCTATTCTCTAAACTCAAAAGACCGCTCCGGGGACACCGTTTTGACTCGATTGAAGAGATACAAGCTGAATCGAAGAAAGCTTTGAAAGGCCATTCCGGAAATCGACTTTAACAACTGTTTCGAAGGTTGGAAAAAACGTTGACATAAGTGTATTGTGTCTGAGGGGGATTACTTTGAAGGCGACGAAATAGATTTGGAATAATAAATAAAGATTAAAAAAAAAAAATTTAAATTGGTCTTCCTTTTTGGACATAGTAGTGTATATATATGTATATATATATATATATATATATATATATATTATATATATATATATATATATATATATATTATATATATATATATATATATATATATATATATATTTATATATATACTGGGTGATCGGAAATTACCGCATTCGGAGTACAGGACATGATACTTTATGCTAAAACAAACAACTTTTTATTATATATATATATATATATCAACGTCATAATAATCCGTAATACTTAGTTATATTTGGAGAACAAATGGAAAGTTTTCTTCTTCGTTAATGCGACGCAGAAGCATCGGCGAGCGAGTTTCATATTACTTGCGATATCATGCGCACAGCAAAGTCTAAATCATAAAAGCGATATCAGTTTACCGTCGCAAAAAACGCTTAAGTTTTAGTTTTTTTTCTTTTTATTGTGACTTACGAGATCAAATCTCCTTGACATGTCAGAATTTGGGAAATTTCATACAATTTTAAGTAGAACGCTCAGAACTGTTAAGGGAGATCTATCTAATTTTCCTATCTCTCTTATTGTCTGATTATTTCAAGTAAAAATGTAGTATAATACGATATATATGTGTGTGTACGATATATGCGATATGTGTGTGTGTGTGTGTGTGTGTGTGTGTGTGTGTGTGTGTGTGTGTGTGTGTGTGTGTGTCTAAAAATGAAGAAAGAACAAGTCACTATTGTGCAGTATATCTTGTATAATTAATCGCCCTAATCTTTAATACGAAGTATAGCAAAATTGATTATAAATTTACAAATGATTATTGCTAAACAATCGGTATTAGTAATTAATGCTATTTTCAATGTATCAGCAAACATTAAATTAGCTTCATATATAATAATTATTATATTTTAATTTATTCTGAATATTATAAGAATATTTCGCAACATCTGCTGCGAAATATGTATTTTTAAAACATAAAAGTTAAAATATAAGCAACATATATTAATAGAAGTGACCTGATCAGAATAACTTGAAGAGAATACAAAATTTTGGCTTAAGAGATAGTTATGATGATAACTCTTTAATGAAGATCTTGAAAGGAAATGAAATTTAATTATAATGGTCATTTATTATAATGAAATTTAATTTTAATTATATTTTTTCTATGGCTTTAATATGGTATAATGGTTTTCTAACAGATTTTAAGTTTGGAATGTATGGGTTTGGAGTTTATGGGTTGAGGATTCAAAGGACTTGGTTTGGTTGGTTTACTATTTATGGTTTATGTGGTCTCTATTTATGGTTGTGGTTCTACGTAGATAAGATTTATAATTTACGTTATTTTAATTTGCGATGGGAATTATGTGATTTTAAACCTTCTTACCACGTATACCTCATAAATGTGACGTGATACGAATTTTTCTGGAACGGATTCTATTTCTATTCAGCACGTCAAAATATATAAGAAACAGTTGATCTTCCTTCCGGAACAAAATATTTTTTTTATTCAGTAGTCCTGTGTAATTAATTCAGTCGACGAAAAATCTCAAGACGTACAAGTCGAGACCACGTTCATATTAAACATGGGGTGCAATAAGACATACATAGACATACATAGTCATAAGTCGGTAAAACTATTACGGTGTAATAGTATAGTCATAAGTCGGTGTGAAATTAGATATGCTATATTAATAATTCTCGAAAATAATCACGATAATTCTTTCTTTTACAAGACTAAGTGGAGCAGACGTACGTGCAACTGAACCATGGAGACATGTATGGCTGATGTCTGTGCAGCTGCTGTGAGTGGATCTCCCGTGCCCGTTTTCTTACAACTAATACAAACGCTTTTGACGGCGCAATGCAGTTTAAACAACAGCAAGAATTACCCACCTGACCGCTCCGAAGAGATCGCAGGATCCAACATCGAATTCGACTTCGTGATAGTGGGTGCCGGAAGTGCTGGATCCGTGATGGCTCATCGTTTAACCGAGATCGATAACTGGAAGGTACTACTAATCGAAGCCGGTGAAGACCCTTCGGCTTCCAGCGATATTCCCGCGCTCTTCATGAATTTGTTAAAAACGCCAGAGGATTACGCTTACGACGTCGAGCCTGAGAAATTCGCTTGCCATGGTACGACGACCGGCCTGTGCAAATGGGGAAAGGGCAAGGCCCTTGGTGGCAGTTCCACGATAAATGGCATGATTTACATTGAGGGCACCGACGAGGACTACAACGAGTGGCATCGGATGGGTAACAAGGGCTGGAGCTATGAAGATGTTTTGCCATACTTCAGGAAATTTCAGAACTGCCAAGAGGCGCGTCCCGGCTGCGCTCAGCAAGGGCCGCTGGATATTAGATATTTCAACTACACCAAGACGTTGGCACACAATATATTCAGGGAGGGGCTCCGCGAGTTGAACGTGCCTAATCTGGATATGTTGAATGCCGGGAAGTTCATCGGATTTGGTACAACTCAAGCGACGGCGGCGAATAGCCACAGGATGAGCACAGCGAAAGCTTTCTTGTCGCCGATCAAGGACAGAAAGAATTTGTACGTGATGAAGTCTACTCGAGCAGATGCCGTTCTCATGGACGGCAATCGGGCGGTCGGGGTACGCATGACCTTAAAGGACGGCAGATCGATCAACGTAAAAGCGTCGAAGGAGGTGATCCTTTCCGCCGGCAGTATCGGCAGTCCACATCTGCTGATGCTCTCTGGCATCGGACCTAAGCAGCATCTACGTGAGATGGGGATAAACACCATCGTCGATCTGCCGGTCGGTAAAAATCTTCAGGACCATATTACCTGGCTAGGCTTTTATATAAAGTACAAAGATGCGGACGCTATACCGATTACACCAACGTTCCTTTTGGACGAAGCTTACCAATATCTAATGCATGACCAAGGTTTTTTCGCGAGCACGAAGATAGATTACGTCGGTTTCATCAACGTGACTGATCCGAACGCCAAGTATCCTGACATTCAGTTCCATCACGCTTTCATGCAGCAGTGGATGCAGCCAATACATGCACAACTATTGCGCCAATTTTACATACACGATGACATAGTGAATGATATAAGTGGCACGCTGATGGACAATAGCTTAATGACAATTATCTCGTCTCTATTGAAGCCAAAGAGCTTGGGCGAGATACAACTACGTAGCAAGAATCCGGCGGATCGTGTCAAGATTTACGCGAATTACTTCTCCGAGCAAGAGGACATTGAAACGATGTTCAAGTCCTTGGACTTCATAAAGAAAGTGTTGAAAACAGAGGCGTTCAAGCGATACGATGCGAAGCTGCATCATATAGATATTGCAGGTTGCCGACACACCAAACCCGATTCCGAAGAGTACTGGAGGTGCAACTTGCGGCACTTGTGTGTAACGCTTTACCACCCCGTTGGAACGGCCAAAATGGGTCCTCAGAATGATCCCACAGCCGTCGTGGACGCTCGATTGAGAGTTCACGGAGTGCAAGGTCTCAGAGTCATCGATGCATCTATCATGCCAAAGATCACTAGCGGAAATACAAATGCACCTACGATAATGATAGCAGAGAAAGGCGCGGATATGATCAAGGAAGATTACATGAAAAACAAGGACGAACTGTAGAAGAAGTTACTTACATTTTTATTGTGATTATTCTTATATTTTGGTTTCGTTCTTATATTTTGGTTTCTGTTAACTCTTACAAGGGCATTGGTTCATATATAGACCACTTACATTATGGCAGTTTTATTATCGTTACTTTTACAATTTGATCATAATAATAATCATACATATTTATTTTTCTAAATTCTAAATACTTCTCCTTCAAGTTTTATTAATATTTTTATTTTTTATAATAATTATAATAATTATTGTGAAGAAATAAAGTTAAAAAATAACGTTTTATCATTTTAACTCGTTCCTGACGATACAAATGAAGATAGGAAGCTACAAAAAATTACTGAATATTCTTGATACCTTCTACTATTACATATAATTTTTGCAAATTTTTTTGCATTTTTAATTTTTTATAAATAAGTAAATATTTAATAATTGTATATTTTTGCGAAAAAAACAAGAAATGTAGACTTTTTGCTCAAAATATATTGAACAAGTATTACAAGTTGAGTTTTTTATTTTGAAAATCATGGTAGATATAAATAATATATATTGAGATAAAAATTTAAAAATTCCGTAATATTTTGCGATATTCGCAATAATTGAGATATTAATTTAAAAAATATAAAAAGATATAAAAAAACAAAAGAAGCTAGATTAGTCACGCCGTTAGTTCTGGGTAACGCTAAAAGGATTACATAAATAATAAATAAATAGAACATTAAAATAAATATATAATAAATAATATAAAATAAAAATAAATAAAATAATAAAAATAGTAAATAATAAATAAGAAATAAATTTGCGATCCAAAGGGTTTACGAAAAATTCATATCTTTAAAGTTTTGTCATTTACAGCAAATATTGGATTCGTTATATTGAAAATATAGCGAATTCGCTATTTTAAAAATCTGATATCAAATTCGTAATTAGTGACCCAAAAAATCTATAAATAATAAGATTGTTGCGAAAAATTAATTTTTATAATTTTTTTTTCATTGACAGCAGCTATTTTGGATCCACTATATTGAATTTTTCGAATCTAACTTCAGATTCGTAATTAGTGACCAGAAAAACAGAAATATATGTTTTCATAAAAATCCACTGAGTCTAATTCTAATTGTGTCTCTAAAAGTATTAAAAGCAAGGTTAATTTGGTTATGAATAAAATCCAATAAGCAAATGTAAGGTTTTAAGCTTATGTCCGATTTTACCAACGTCGATTAAATCTTAATTTAAATTGTTTTCAAAGATTAAGACAACACAGATTAACTCAGATTAAGACAGATTAACTCAGATTAAGACAAATCAATGTTGCGAAACTATTAATAAACAGTTATAATTGTATTATTCATCACTTCGTGTTATTTATTTCTACGATTTTACTTAATGGTAAAACTATGCGAAGGACACACTGATAATACTACAATGAAATATAGTTCAATGCATTCAACAGGTGTATGATCAAGTATTTCCCGAACGTATGTTACCATAAAAAGTTATTAAAAGACGTTCTCGAGCAGAGGGTAGGTAGTGGGGGTAGGCAGAGGGGGGAACGTCGTCGTTGCGAAGAAGGGTAGGGGAATCCCGCGAAGCGACTCGGCTCGCGAGAAGGTTGTCGAGCGCGTTCCTGTCCCGCGGTGGGGAGGGCGTCGAAAGGGACGAAGAGGGTACGCTCATCGGGAGAGTGGGAGAACTGGAGGAATACTGCAAGACGGCCGACAGCGTCGCGCACCGTCATTCTCGTGCGAGTCTCTACGGTGCTCGCGATCCTACGCGCCAGGTTACTCAGGCTCGAGAACGAATTCCTGCACACACATCATTGGAAAGTTTCGAGTTCCTCTTCTTCTTCCCGCCGATCTGTCTTCGAATTCTATCAATAACATCTCCCACCATCTCCGGTCATCCCCATCGTTGCGTTTCTCATTGATAGGAAACCTCTGTCAAGCGCCCTTCGAGATCCTCAAAGGTGACCTCCACCGTCGATCCCCTCGGCTCTCCCTCACCGATTATCTTTTCTCCCTTCCCCCTCTCCTACCTGCCCGTCGACCAACTGCCCCCACCCTCCTGGTCGACTGCCCCTTCTCCACTGTGGGGAGAGACTTCCACACCACAGTGTATACCTTGCGGCACTCTCGGAGGGAAGTTGATGCTAAGAGAGAGAGATCAGTGTGACACCACGCTCGTCGGAGGGACGAGCCCTTACATGAATTACAAGTTTGTGCGCACGAGGCTTGCACAATATTTTCCGCACAGTATTCGGTGCACATATATTGAGTGTGAAAGCGCGTCGATACAATTATCCTTCCACGCGTGAACACATTCACGCGCGTACACAAACACATCGGGCGTTGGATATTTCCCGTTGGGAGCCGGCTTGATAGTGAAACCACGGAGTACGCCTCTTCATCTCGCCCTCGACGTCGGACGGAACAGGAGGAATCGTATATACATAAGTATATACAGCTATATACATATATTTATATACGTCTGTTTGCATCCTTCGAATTAGAGGCCTTCAACCGACCAACGCATTGACTGCAACCGACAATCGCCAGTTCATCGAGATGTCGCATAACACGAAGGTTCTCACAGCGGCGGTGCACGGCGGCAAAAATCAGGTGAGTAACCCTCTATTAATAGAGTAGTTGTCGAAAGTAGCTGCGCACGATCGCATTTTTCTAACTGATCAAATGGCAGAGAAGCAACGCGCTATTTTCCATAAAAAAAAAGAAGAGGAAAAAATAGGAAAAGCTTCAAAATGAATGGCGAAAAGTAGCTCAGGAAATGATTAATTAGGCTTCCGTTCGCGCTTGATCGTCGGGGCTACCTTTGCCCGCGCGAAGGAATTATCTCACGGCGTGCCAGAGAATTAATCGCAAAGGCAACGCGACAAAGATTGTGCTTTACAGATCATAATGTATTCCGAGACTCGTTTCTGCGAAAATAAAAAAAGAGGACTCCGCGACTCAAGGCTGCGAACGTTATAAATTACTTCGTACCGTTTATCTATGGACACAAAGCGTATTTACATAGAGTAACGTTCTCTCGACACGTGTTCTGCATGAATAAAGCATTCTTTGGGAACATGATTTTGGAAATTTTTGTATCGCGCTCATCTCACGTATCCTTTTGCCCCGCGTTGGAACTTCGGCTGACCTTTGGAGTTTGAACGTTGCGCTGTGCGCGACGCTTGGCGCCACGAACTATGAATTTCAATTGCTAATTCTAAGAGATATGATAAGACCTATTTAAGTGCTTCATGACCGTCGTATACGTTTCTCGTTTGGACGTGCATGCATGCGATCGCCACGTGGCTGTCTACGGTCGCGCGTAAATGAGAACCATCGCCGACCCGGCGCGGCGTCACGAGCCCACAACAGACTTAATGTTACGCATTAATATCGCGGCTCTCTGTGTCTACCATACAATGGTATAATATGCTAAAGTGTGTCGCGTGAAGCCGACGGGAGCGCGCCGGGGCAGGCAGCAAAATTCAACGCGCGAAATGCACTTCGCGTGAAGCCCAAATTAGACTTAGCGATTGTCGATTGATAATTGGTGATTGGCAATTCATTTTCAGTCAATTGAAGCAAAACGGCTACTGATTGCTCTGATTGATTGAACACTAATCGGCAATCGCTACGCTGAGAGAAATCATCCGATAAAAATTAAACAAACGGCTTTCTGATCAAATTTCGATCAATTTTTATGTCTGTTTAGGATATCCGATTAAATTTTATCGAACACTTCTAATCATAATAGTATTTCATTAAAAAGTTATGAACCGATATTTCTTATTGGATGTTTCTTGATATAAAAAATCATCGGTATTTTAATCGGAAATTAATCGTTTGTTAATTTGTTACCAAATAATTTCTCTCAGTGTGGTCTGATTCGGACTTTACAAGCGCGCGCATGCGCTTCTCTCCGCAAGACTTACCTACGTTGGTGCGCAACGCATGACGACCGCATAATTACGCGAGCGCACTTGTAAAAAGAATTTGTCGTGCGATATTGTGCGGTTACTGCGCGGTTATTCCTTATCGTCATTTTGCGCGAGCCCACTTCCGTACAACTATCGAAGTTAACATTCGAGTATCGCGTTAAATAACGCTCGACGAAATTACTTCTTTGAATAAATCAGTCGAGGAAAGAGCATCAATGCCCGGATGCGTACCTAATTCTGGACAGTCTTATTGTTCTGATCCTTTTTTTAATACGAATATTTAAACTTTCAATGTAAAATATATGTACATACATTTTACATTGAAGATTCAAATATTCGTATTTAAAGACCAAAACGATAAGAACGCTCAGAATTGGCTATGCTTCTGGGAATTGATACTTTAATCTTGCTTAGCATTGAATTGATATACAAAACGATGTAAAGAGCGTTTTTATACATCGTCGGCCAATTTAGGAAACTTCCAAACTCATAAAGTTCCACTTTGATGGATTTCTCGACGTTACAGAATCTCGAGACAAGTCGCACGAAATAAACGTTCCGATTTCGTCAGAAATTGCAATTGGGAGGTTTCCTGATTTGGCCGGCGATGTTTTGACGTATAATATCATTGATTGTGATATTGATAAATTTAATTGTATCTTGAGAACACACAGTGCGCGATAAACCATAACGTACAAGGTTCATATTTTTTTCATTCGCCAGCTGTATACAACACTGGTGAAACATTCGAAGACATTTCTATCGTTGCTCTTATCATTATGTGCTATATTATGAGGGGCGCCGCGTTTCCCGCGTTACGCGATACTATTCGATCGATAATTTCGTTATGATGACGAGTGACGCGGAGAGACGGAAACAGTTTTTTCGCGAAACGCACGCGATGCGTAACACTCTCCGGCAATTAACGATAACTGTTTTCTTCTTGTTGATGTAGCCGAGCGATGTAATCGCTCGCACTTGAATCATCCAATTGCGACAAGTCGTGCAATAAAAAATTCCCCCATTCCGTAGTATGCATCATCGCGCACGGTTACATTCTTTGAATTAACCAACACATGTACAATGCGATACGGAATGCGTCACCAATTATCACAAATTATTTCCGAGTTAATGAACTTTTATTACCAGTCTGGAAATCTATATCAAGGTCTCATAAGATACACTCACCGTTTATTAATAGGTTTCGTTCGTTTTAACTTGAAGCCTGACTGTGTTCCGTTATCGCGAGGTGATAAACGCGCCGGATATAACGCGTCTCCTTGAAAAAAAAAAAAAATTGGTACCTGTACAAGAAACCGTGTGATAACACGTTCATAGAAACCGTCCGGTTTCGTCTAGGTAAACTCTTGCGCGCGAACTCGTGATCTCTTTTTCTCTCTTTGTCTGGTAAAACGGGATATAATTCTTTTTTTAGCGTGCACCAAGTTTTTTTTTATAGCTCGGCGCTTTTGGCGGACGCGAAAGTCGGCCGCGGCGTAAAAGTGTATTTTTGGCCGGTAACCTTCGCTAATCGCGCCGAGTTATTTAAGATACAATATATTTACTTTTCCGCGATTAGCTGTCAACATGGTGAATTTCAAATCGCAGCACTTGGACATGCGCTGTTTCCACCTGATCGGCGATTCGACGTAACGAAACTGCGCGATGTACTCAAACGAACGCGAAATTTCTAATATACTAAGAGAAATAAACCAATAAAAAAAATATACGGATCTGATCAAATTCCGATCGATTTTGGTATCTGATGAGAGTATCCGATTCTAAATTCTAAAACTCTAAACATAAAAATGTTAAATGAATCCTAAACATGGATAAATTTTACCCAGCGCATTTTCATTTCCTCGTAACTTCCGTAAGAATAATCAAAATTCGATGATCTTTTTAGCAGCGTAGGAAACATCAAGGAATGTGAATTTAATTAATGTTTTTATAATTTAATAAAGTTAAAAAAAATTATAATGAAAAAACACGAAACACATGATTTTAAGAACGATAATGTTTGAAAAATTGGTCTAAGTAAATTTTAGGGTTTAGGATTCTAGAGTTGAATTCAATCGGATACTTCTATAATATAATGACTATATAATGGCATTTCGTCAAATAAATCGATTAAAAAATTAATATCAATTCTAAAGGACGATAGGAGCCAAATATGCTGGTGTTAACGTTAATAATTTAAATACAAATAGTCAATTAATAAAATTTAAATACAATAGTCAACTAATAAATAAAATAAAAATAAAGAATCAAAAAATTTATTCTTGTGCAACGTTTCATTTTTTGATTCTTTACTTTTATTTATTTTATTTATTAATTGACTATTTGTATTTAAATTATTAACGTTAACACCAGCGTATTTGGCTCCTATCGTCCTTTAGAATTGACATTGATATATAAATCCTTTGAGCCGTTTTAATATAATTTGTCTGATAGTTTAGAAAAATTAACCGATATTTCTTGATCGTAAAAGATTTTGAAACATAAAAATTTATCGGTACTTGATCGGGAAATATTTGTTGGTTCACTTCCCATCGGATAATTTCTCGCGGCAGTGTAATCGTATTGTCGGCATCGTTACTTATTTTGGCATTGTCGCTCGATATCGATTTCAACTGATCGAACACGAGATCATCGAGGCGATTTCTTTTCGCCCACTGCGACTCACGAGGCGACGAAAGTCGCTCCTTTATCGTTTCTCCAATCGGACCTCCAGTTTCTACCGTGACCCCGATCGATCGCCGGCGACGAGGATAGTTTTGCTCGAGGCTCAGCGGCCGTGCGTTGACTTTGCATCGGCGATCGATGCCACGCGGTGAACAAACCGCGCGGGTAGAGACAGCCGTCTCGTCGCAACGTGGGTTAAATTTAACCCGCGCACGGATACCCGCACAGCTATTTCTCACTGTGCGCGCGAATCGCGCAGGCAATCCGGGTGGGGGATCGTGTATTCCAGCGAATTGCTATCATTTATCGTGCTTAGACTCGTAAACTTGCACGTCAGATCGTCGCGAGTCGAGACGAGATCGCAAAATTAATTATCATTTTTATTAACGTATCGCTTGCGTGCCATCATAACTTGCCCCACGGCAGTCGGGACGATTCGCGAGATGCGGTCAGAGAGATGGGCCTTGAGAATTCGCTTCGGGGAACTGCTGTATCGCTAATAGAAGATTTCTCCGTCGTAGGAGAGAATTTTGTAGGAACCGGTATTTCTCTACGAAAGAGCCGCTTCTATCGGCTCTCACGATGCGTCCCACCTGACTCTCAATTTGCTTTCCCTTGGTTTCGCGCCGAAAACCATCGGCTCGCCTTTGTTTCATAACTGAGACGTAATTTCTCAGGTTAAACGAACGACCGAGCGACCGCCTTCTGCTTCCAAATAGTGGTCTAGGTCTACGCTCGGTCAGTCGTAACGTCAGGCATAACATGTCTAACAACGATAGCACGTCGCACGGGTGCGGGTGCACTACGTCATGGAAATTTCCTCAACGGATTCCTCTCTCTCTCTCTCTCTCTCTCTCTTTCCCTCCCTCTTTCTCTCTACCTATCTCCCCATCTCCCCTTCGTCCCTCCTCGCACTCTTTTTCTTTCCTTTTGCGTTTCCCCTTCTTCCTTCCGTTCTTTTCCCCTCTTATGCTCCAACGTCCCCCC